TAGGTTTAAGACCTATAACTAGCAAGCATCAATATTGCAACAATTTTAAAAGACATTTGAAGTAATCAGTATTTTTCATGATTTCAAAAGCATATTTTCAAAAATTAAAATTGAAAATCGTTTATTTTATTTTGCTTAAGCGTGATTTATCAGTTTTAACTATTAACTATTATTATATATATATTTGTAATTTTTCTGTTATGGATAATAATTTATAACATATTATTGTAATACTATTATAGTATTATATAATTATTTTTTCTTGCTGTTGCTTTGTTCTTATAATTTCTCGCCTGATATAGAGGGACTGAATCTAAACGCCTCGACTTTCGACTATTAAGTCTATCTAATGCGTTAACAATTAACCATGCTTTCTGCAGTGAATTGAGCAAAGAGCAAGCCTCAAAACTATTTATCGTAGTATTATTTCACTCGCTCCGAGCACAATATTTAAGGGTTAATGACCGAAAAAAAGCCTACGTATGAACCATTAGCATTTACGCATTATTCGATTGTAGCATCAATGAGGCAGTAAGATACTAAATTCTCCCGTGACAACTGCAGTATAAATGTATAAAAAAAATTTTTTATTATTCGAGTCTACAATTTTAATAGAATTTATTTAGAAAATTAAATTTTTGTTACTTTTTTGCGGCTATTATACGATTAGGCAACAGTAGAATACTTACACTTTGGTATCCGCAAGTATGCTCTCGTGTAGACTACCTATATGCAGTTATTATCAGTATAATATAGTTCAGTATATATGCAGTTGTATTATCCAGTTTCCATTTCGAGAGCAATTTATTATCGTTTACGAGTTTTACATTTAGTAATGATGGCATGCAATATAATTAAGTATTACCTACGTGCTTTTTATCTATAATTTGTCTTATATTTTATATTTTAACAGAATTATTATTTATTTATTTTACCTAAATATTGATAATTGTTAAGGCTGTCAATTATAGTATGAACATTGACGCAAATTATCCAACATAAAAATAAAAAGTTGACTTAAACTATAACATTTTTAATTCTATGAAGATGACGATCACAATAATAAATATTAATAACTAACTCAGTGTGGTGTAAAAGTAATCTAAAACCATGATTTACTTAGTTGTTCCGATTTTAAAAACGAATTTCATGGTTTTCCGAAACACGATATTTACCAGTTAATAGGAATTAATAAGCACAATAACAATAAATGTACCTATAAACAAATAGCTTAATAAATACATGAACTTTAAAATGTGTGATATTAGTAGACATTAAGTTTTTTTTGTTAATAAGCAAAACAAATTTACACTATATTTGAAAGATTTACATACTTATCAGTAAATAATAAAAATAATATTACCATTGTTATGCACGCATGAAAGAGGGGGAGGGTGAGATTTGGTCTTGAGGGTGTCAATACTGTAAATATTTATATATTTTATAGTTTCATTTCTGAAAATATCAAAATTCGTAGGACTTATATATATTTTCTACCTTTAGTAAATATTATAATATAGATCATGTCAAGTACAAAAGATTGATCGGATGGAACTGCCACCAATTCCAAACCAACTATCGTGTTTTAAAATACGACGCAGTAGTGCGCATATAAAAAATCGTGTTGTTAATGGCAATTATTTTGTGTTAGAGACTTCACGCACGGAACATTATTTTGTTGTTGTTAATATTATTTTCCTTAAGTATTTTCAGTGTTATTTTTTCACCGTTCAACTTCTCATTCTTGTATTAATTCGGGCCTTTTACCGACACGCAAACGTTAAACTTATTATTTATGATTATCTGCAACTACACACGACATAATACATCTAGCCGCGCAGTCTGCTGACCTCACGGTTAACTTTTTGTTAAAAACATTTTACTATTTCAGTGCGGTTTCTGTAGAAATCGTCATGCATTCGGCGCAAGCCGATCAATATGCGTCTGTGAACATTTCATATGACCAGCGTTTGTATTATATTACTACCTATTACATAGATTATTGTTATTATACATAGGTTTCTGAATTCTGAGTGTCTAGAAATAATATAAAAAGGCAGGTTAGGGAGTACCACTCAGCTGTACATTAGGTATCGAATGAGTTACTACTATAGATATGTTAAATTTGAATTAAATGATTATATCATTGAATACAAAAGATAATTCTGAGCAGAAATGGTCATTAGCATGCATCACTAATGTGTTGTTTAATGTAGAGCTATAAATGTAATTAATTTTACTTTCAGTATTTTAATAGATTGATGCAATTTTTTTTCGAAAATAGTACGTACATTAATTTATTATACTTTAAATATTTAATTATTTTAATAATATATATTAATACTAAATTATATCATTTATTTTATTCAACAAACATCTATAAATACTGTAAAACAGTAAAAATAGATTTATGATACTTATAAATTAACAATATCTTAAAATAAATCAAAAATGTTATTGTATATAGTAAAATTTGTATTAATATAAAACTCATATAAGTTAAGTTCTCACGAATAATATTTCTAAATTATAACAAAACAACTAGCATAACTTTATTTATATAATTTAAATAAGTAGTTTTGTTTAAATTGAAATTTAAAATGTTTACAAAAAATAATAATATACAGTTTTCAAAACTTAAGATACAAAAAATGTTTTTATACATTTTTAACTATAGAATAGTTTTTATAACATTCATAAAAATTCTAACTTCAAATGTATATAAAAAAATAATTAGTGTAACTATGTATTTTTAGTGTTTTTAAACAGATATATTATGATTAACTTTTGTGGAATTTTATATTTAATTTCTAAGAATTTTAATCGGGAAATAAGTTTTATCGACATTTTACAGAAAAAAAAACTGATAAAAATCAAAAATTCCTTATATCTATAAATAACTGAAGAGTTACAAACTTTTGAAAATTTAATCAAGTCTTAATGAAAATAATAATATAATCATTTAATGAAAATGTCAAGTATCTATCTATATATATATTTTTTTTTTTTAAAATACAATAAAATATTTATATAATTCTTATAGGTATTATAAGAAATTGTTTGAAGAGAAATAATTATTTTACAAGTAAATATCGATTGTTGTAAACACTTGAACTTGAAATTTTCATAACAAATTTATTTGACTTTCCAGTACTATTTTTATACCATTTATAGGTTGAGAAACTAATGAAGAACCTTATACTTAATGTTTTAATCTTAGATACGAAAAAACAAATTTCATGAACTTCTAACTATAAAATAATTAACTGATTTTTACGATTTTTGTTCAAATTCCAACTTAAAATGTCTATTATAAAATATCAAGACTATAGATTTTCAATATTTTTTAATAAAGAAATTATAGCATTCCTACCCAAAAAATAATTTTTAATAAACATTTAAAAAAAAAAATTGAAAATTTCTTATGCCTTTAAATAGCTTTTAAATTGTAAGAATAGTTTGAAAATTCTATCGCAAATTAAAATTATAATTTAATCATTTGGTGAACATTTTAGATTTATACGATTATTCTTTTTTAAGTTACATTAAAAAATAAAATAGATTTTGTTAAAAATTGGATTTGTGTAAAAATCCCCATTTTTCTCTTAGTTTTTGTTTGATTTTTTTCAATTATAAAAATAAGTAATTGAAATTTTAAAATTTTACTTATTTAAAGTACAAATTAGATCCAATTTAGTATCCAAAATCATCAACTATTTCTGAAAATTGAAGCATTTTATTAACAACTTATCGTTTTTTATCCACAAAAAAAAAAAAAAACATATGATAAAATTAATACATTTTTTGCTCAGCTCAGAATCTAAAATATATTATATATAATTTTTTGATTTGATCATGGATTATACATTGTTAAGTAAGATTTTTTTCTGCTGTTTATAAAGACGACAAGAAACAAATGTTTTTTAAATAATCATTTGATATAATTTTATTCAATTAACATTGCTTGCTGATATCACGGCAGACTGATATAGGCAATTTAACAACACCACAGTTGTAACTGTGATTTATAATTATTTTATTTTCCGGCATATTATTATATTGGAGATTCGAAACATCGTTTCTAAGGAATACTGTGTAGGTAATATTAAGGGTACTGTTATTCATCATAGGCTAAATAATATTTTTTCATTTTACTTTATTTTATAATATAATACATTGATTTGATGATATTTTTTTTTTCATTTAGAACGAATTTGAATGTTATAGTATGTTTAATTTCCACTGAAAACAACAAATTTATTTATTTTTCCATCTGAAGAAACACAATTTGTTGTTGAATAAATATACATTCTGAAAAGTTAAATTTAATTTAGTGTAAGTCAAGTCTATTAAATTTAACACGTTAACTGCCATGTGTACATTATTTTGTACGCGGGAAAATTGTCATTCATGTATAGGCATTTTTTTGTATGTTTGCATGTCTAAAATTAGTCAAAATTAAAAGTAGATTAAAATAGTAACAAGTACTGCTATGTGTTCGCTAAAAATATAGAAATGGTCTTAAGGGCCACAAGATTCATATTCCTATCTAAAATCAATAGTATTGTGTCAGGATTTTGAACACGTAGATGGTGATTTTAATAACGTCAGTGTACATAATAATGTACACGAAAGCAAGTTTGGCAATTTATGGCGTGTACACAAAAATGTACACATGGCCTTCCGGGTAATGTATGAAAAAAGTAGGTGGCAGTTAACGTGTTTTTTTAGTGGGTCTAACATAGATAAGACAAAGAGTTTAGATTTCTTTTCAAACATCTTATCACACAACACAATCAGATTGATCAGATGAAATCGATATAATATACCTAATACCAAACTTATTAAATAATTAAATTTAAAACAAATTGAATCCATCACCGTACCGCGATACTTGTGAATTTTATGCGACAGTTACTTAAAATAAAATATATAAAACTAACAATAATTATTATTACTTTAAAATAATATAATATAATCTTTATGTGGCAATTGTCTTAGTATAATACGAGTATAACAATAAATTATTATGTTTTAACAACTGACAAAGTAAATTAAATCAATAATGAATATCATTTGTTGTCTTAAATCAGAAACCGATACTATAGAAATATAGTAGTTAAAATATATTTGTTTGAACAATTTATCTACCATAATATATGACGTGATAATTAAGTAAAACCATAAATGTTTTTCTATCTTCTTTAACCTTTGCAAACGAATACCTATAACAATATTATATTATTTATATCATTAATAATTTCTGAAATCGTTATATTAACGTGACTTCCAGTGATCACTTGGTGGCCTTGGTTTTTTCGTACTCATCCTTTAGTAATCTTCGTAATATTTTTCCGGCCGCACTTTTGGGTAGAGATTCAACGAACCGCACTCCAGCTGAGATCTGCTTGTAAGGTGCCACTCGTTCTGCTATGAACGCTTTAATATCTACTTCGCTGACTGCCGATTTGTCTGAGTCAAGCACGACGTACGCCAACGGCGCCTCACCTGTTCGGTCGTCCGGCACGCCGATGACAGCCGCGTCTAGTACTGCCGGGTGGGTCCTTAGGAGTCCTTCTAGTTCAGCCGGCGGAACCTAAAAAATAATGAAAATATCTTTAATTACAGAAAATTATTGTATATAATAATTGTGTTCCTAATTAAATATATGTGAAATTTAAGTTTATCCGTGTTTTTACGATAAATTGTTTACACGCGAGGGGGGATATTTGTTCTAAATATTACAATATAATTATTTATAACTGTCACACTAAACGAGTTAATAATAGGTTTAAGTTTAGTTTATTTTAATTTATTAACGCATATTACATAAGTACTTTTTTCCATCTTATTTTTTGTTTATAAATAATAAATAATGATAAATTAGTCAATTTTCATAATTAATTAATATATGGAAGAATTGCTTTAAATAATGAATTAGACAAGATTCAAGATTTTTAAGTAATCTACAATCCTATAAAATAAATTTAAAAAAAAACAACTAAATATTAACGACGAATTTATGAATGTAAGATCATTTTAATAAAATAATGATAGAGTTTAAGGGTGTACACTGTACGTACTGTTGTTTATTGCAATGCACTTCTGTTCGATTAGTTTATTAGTATTTTTAATTATTGAAAAAATTAATGTTTTAAATCCCCTCTTCACTTAAATAGATTAGTAACTGCATTCAATTAACCTGGTATCCTTGGACTTTGATCAACTCCTTAATACGATCAACTATGAAGAATTCTTTTTTATCGTTATAGTAACCAATGTCACCAGTACTGAGCCATCCTTCTGAATTTATAGTGTTAGCAGTGGCTTCAGGGTTGTTGTGGTAACCGATCATCACCTATACATACAGTCAGATTACGTTTGTTTATCGTTTTAAATAATATTAATGTTTGTCAGATTAATAACCCCATTTGTTAAGCCATTGCTTAAATATTATGTTTATAGTTATCTCTCACCTGTGGCCCTTTGACCTGAATTTCTCCGGTTTCACCAGGACCATATTCAATAGTGTCATCGGTGGGGTCGACGACTCTGGCTATAGTGTTAGATATGGGAGGACCAACGGTCAAATAATCAAACCGTGAAGAATTCCTGGATACGAACACGGCTGGCGATGCTTCTGTCATGCCATACGCTGAGTATATTCATAAACAATTTTTCAATAAAATATTTTTTTAACGGATCATATTTATTGAATATACATATTTTACTATTAAAATTTGATTTAAATAATGTTTTGGAAAACAAAGATTAACGATGTTTTCATTGTTTTCGAATATCTTGGTATTTTTTTTATAATTGTGTATTAGTTAGTAGAATTATATTGATATATTTTTTAACTATATGCATTACTATAAAACTGTAAGTTATACTACTTACGAAAGTTTTTTGAACTAAGTTTTAAAGAAATTCGAGGAAAAAACAATAAATAGCTAATAGAAAAACTGTCATAAAATATTTACAAACATATAAAAAAATAAAAATAATCGTAAAAAATAGAATAAAATTATAAGATATCTGGATATATCTTTCTTTGAAAATGATACTTAGAATTATAAAAAAAACAAGATCAAGTTGTTGTTCAATTATATTATGTATGATCAAAAGTAAAAATTGGAATTATTTCTTCGTGAAAACTACATATTTTGGATTTTATGAGTATTGGTTTGAAGTAAATATGTTGTTATTTTTTTACTATTGTTTATTTGTTCGTATACAATAAGAACTAATAATTAAATTTAATGAAAAAAAGTTGTACATACCTTGACAAAAACGTACATTTTTGTTTTTGGTTCTGGCAAGTACTTTTTCGGCATCTGCTTCTTTCACAGGACCGGCGCCATTACAAATAAGTCTCAAATTTTGAAAGTGTTCAGGTGTTACGTTTTTATTTTGACCCAATAACAGTACTATCGGTGGTACTACATATAATAATGTCGCCTACAATACAATAAAATAAAAGCAAATTAAAAAAATCTTAATGCTTACGCGACATAACACGACAATCACACCTTGTGGTTTTTAAGTATATTTAAAAATGATTGCGATTCAAGTTTGGGCAAGGTCACCAATTTACAACCATAACTTAGCCCTCTCAGAAGAATCATTGTCAGACCATAAATATGGTAAAAAGGTAAAACAGATGGCAACACATCTTGATAATTTGCTATAAAAAAAAAAAAAAAAGAATAAAAATAAATGATTACTTTGATAAAATGTATTCCATTATTATTATTATTATCATCATCATCAATAATAGTACGGACTTTTACCGTTTAATTGGTGAACTGTAAAATACATCAAAGTACGAATGGAATATAATTTGTACCTATTACTATTATTAGCAGTAATATTATTATTATTTAAAGTAATACATATTGTAATTTATTAAAGTACATGGATTGGATTTACAATAATACTCAAGCACTGTTGTCGAAATCGTTTCTGCAGTTGTGCAATCTATTGTTGATGTTACAAGATTTCATTTTTAGAATTTATTTCAACCATAATACACTGAAAACTTTTTTATTTAAGTATGTGACACTACGAAAATAATACAAAAAATCACAAAAACAAGAAACAATTAATTGGTAATTTCAAGTTGTGATTTAAGTACCATTATTATTATACAATTTTCAATTTTTTTTTTTTTTTATTGATGAAATATATTTATGCACAAAAGTTAATGGTTAAAAATAATACAAAGACCTAAATAGCAATTAATTTTATTATATTAATTTATTAAATCGTAGAAAATTATGAAAATATTTGCTCTCTTATCTCTCTTCATTTGCTAGTTTTTCTTCAGCTCATTTAATTTTGTATTGTTCGAAACAATAGAATTTCATCATTGTGACGAGTTTACAACCGACTGTTCAAAATAACTGAAAGATTGGTATTTATTTTTTTTTGACTTGACTTGACAAGTTATTTGATTTTTTAATGTTGTTTATTTTATTTTTAGGGCGCAGATGTCTAAAAGTATAGAATTTTGTGTTTCACGGCAAACTACTATTCATACAAGTGACTACTGACTAGGTAACCCCGACACTAAAATTACGCATGATTTAGCGACATATAATACAACTATATAGTATATAGCATAGCGATCGATAATAACTGTTATTTCGTAACAACTTAGGTACAATCGACTTCGTACATTCGATTTTCATATTATGCGATTAACAATATAATAATATGATAAATATATACAACCAAAAAAGTTAAATGATTTTCTAATAAAAGTGTAAAAGTAAAACGTATGAATTAAATTACATCGAATTTTCATAGGTTTAACTACGTATAAAAATCTTTGAAGTTTTAATGATCATAATAATGTATTTAGGTAAAAGTCAGTCAATAGATGTATCATGAAAACTTATATAAAAATTACTACATCTGAATGAATATTATTTTCTATAAATGTGTTTAGAAATAATCGAGCACTGTAAATATCAAAATAATAATAGCATATACAAATATATTATAACATCAACGTCGTTTTTAAGTCAATAATTTAAATATTTTAAGATCAAAAAAAAAAAAAAAAACAACATTATTATAATATAATGGTAATGTTTTACTATTACCGAAATTAATTATCAATATATGAGTTTTTGATTTTACTGTAGTTGAATATCAACATTTTCTGATAAATTCGATTTAGAATCATATGATATTTATAACTGTTTTTAATTAATTTTATATTGTAATAAAATTATTATGTATGCAGCCCAGTAACAATTGGAACCATTTATAACGCATATATAATAACTTATTTACGGATACTTTATATTTTGCAGTACATAAATATGTTTTTTTTTATTCTATAATAAGACAATATAACGCAAATATTATAATTTTAATGACGCCGAATACTTAAAATTATTTTATAATCGGTGATCAAAAATTTTAATAAATTTATTTTTGGCATGATGATATTATTATTATTATCACAATATATAATAACTAAAATTTTTATTTCCAACACACAAATATTATTAATAAGTAAAAAACTTTTAGATAGTTTTTTAAAAAAGTTTTTTAAACACGATATATCAAATAAATTTATGTTGCACAAAATTAGTACACTAATACAATGAACCAAATCAGAAAATAAATTGGAAAAAATAAAATATAGGTTTTTATTGATAAAAGTACTGATAAAGACGGGAGGCATATTCAAAAATTTAATTGTTAGAATATTATAAACTAAGAAATTGCATAAATTGTTTTGATTAATTCACAAATTTTAAAGAAAAAAAAATCATTTTACGATTGATCAATTATTTAGAAGAGTATAATATATAAAAAGTTTTTAATTTTTTTCCAAATCACGTAATAAAAGCTGAAAATATAAAGCGTTGCGTTATATTATATAAAATGTCAACACCTAACAAGTTTGAATAGCCAAATGGTTAAAGAAATGTAAAAAAAGGTTTCCAAGAATAAGCGACCTTAAATATAATTACAAAAAATTATGCTTAAAATACTTTATCATGTACGTTTTTAAAATGCTGTACCAAGAGTTCTATTACCTACAGAACTCATATTGATAAGAATGAGTAGGTACATGTTTGTTATAATAATTGTAAGTACTATGCTATTAAATTTGTTATTTTCAGATTAAATCACAAAGACGATATTAATTTCTATAAAAATGTACAAAAACTAATTGAAAAATCAATATTAAAAACCAGTTTAATTTTTATTAAGACAAGGTCAACTTCAAATTTTTACTAATAATATCCAAAATATCTCGCTTGAAAACTCACTCTTATTACTAAATGAATCTATTAAAATGATTTACAAAACTTAAAAATAATTTAAAAAAAACATCAAACAATGACTATAATTACTTTAATTATAAAATACAAAATTAAGTATGCTTAAACTCGGATAACAAAATAATATTGAAAATCATTGAAATCCTTGAGAGAAAAAAAATTAAAAATATAGTTTACCAGATGAAATTATAGCAAATGATTGTATATATTTTTGATATATCAATATTGAACGACATTTTTATTCTTATTAAAATTGTTTATCTGACAACTAACGAAAGTTATTTATAAAAACCTCAAAAAATTCTCATCGTTAAAATTATTTTAGTAAAAACATTTTTATACTAAAACTATTAGGTAATACATTTTTAGTGATAATGCAATATTTTTGAATTTATTTTATAACGTCATTAACATCTTAACTCTAGTTAATTTATTTTAATATGTAATTTATTGTACCTGTAGTGTCAAAAAAGTGTTTTATATCTGGATGGTTCGTCTGTACGATGTTAGCCAAAAGGTTCCGGTGCGACAGCGACACGCCTTTGGAAAGACCGGTTGTCCCACTCGAGTATGGCATGAACGCCACATCACCGTTTGATCGGTTCTTTTTCAGAATAGAAGTGTCCACCATCGGATCGAGCATCTCATCAAAGTCCCACGCACCATCGGGTCTCGGGCCTTTGCCATTAACGGATATTATGTACAGTGGTTTAAAGTCGGGTCCATTCAATAGCTGCTGTGCTTCAAAAACTTTGGGCAACAACTCGGGAATCGTCACTACCCCTGCTGCACCGGAGTCTTTAAACTGGTGAGCAAGTTCAACTAAAACAAAAACCAAAGTATGTTGCTAGATCACCCAATGCCTTGCAGAAATATCGAATATAAAAAACAATCTAGAATCATATTATTATCATGATGCCGCGAATCAAGTTAAAACTCATGAAATAGATGATTCTTTTTACTGATTTGCTGAATACGAACATTTGTCATGCTTCTGTTTTGTAAAATATCATACAATACCGATACTTATTTTCTCTTATCGTGAAAAAAATTATAAGTACTGACATTGCAGTAACCAGATTTCAATAAACTATGCAAAGAAATTCAAATCTAAAAGTTACATAGATTGTATACGTACATTTTCAAAAATTTTGATTTAATTATTTCTATTTTATATTCTATTACAATATTAGATAGTAAAAAAATCAATTCAGATTTTGTAAAAATGTATGGCTAATAATATATTATCATTACTTATTATGTTAAATATAAATTAATTTTATTAACTCAAATATAACTACATAATTAAGTCATATATTTCAGGACTTTGTGTCTTTTAGATTATATTTTTAGAGGAGATAGGCTCTAGAAAATATAAAGTCTTCTCTCGATTAAAAATCGGAAAAAGTTATCTGGTCACGTCGATATTGTCTATGATTATTACTATCGTTTACACATACCATATTATTAAAGCACCATCTCACAAGGCTTACGTTGGCAAGTAATATCGAAATTGCAAGTGATTGTATATTTTTATGTTTCCTGTTCGTTGAATTTCGATTGGCTGTCGATGACGTTATACCGCCACCGGCTGACTCAAGCGTGAGTCTTCACATAATTGTTTTTTGATTACTTACATGAAAGCAATTTTTTTCCCATATTTTTTTTTTTTGACGGTTTTTAAATTATAATAATTATTTTATTATCGATTTTATCGTTCAAGTATTTCAGAGATTTAAATAAACATTTTTTTTATCCGAAAGAAAGGTTCCAAAATTGCTGAAATAAAAAGTAACGGCCGAACATGAGCATGAACAATTTGAGATAAACGATGTATTATTTTCTCATAAAATACATATATTTATTATACTTTATGTACTTACATGGATAGTTATTTTTTCAATACAACGTAATCGATATCAATTATTAGCTAACTGTGGTTTGTGAGATAATTCTTATTAAATTTTTTTTAAACACAATTTTGCATTGGTAAATTTATGGAAACTTATAGGAATTACTGCGTGCAACAATAATAATCATTCAGATAAATCGATTAAAATCAAATTTACTGTGATATTTAATGAACTACGAGCAACTAAACAGGTATAAAATTAGGAAAGTATTTAAATAAATTATTTTATGACTTCTAGATGTTAATCTCATCCACTGGTAAACAAAATCATAGAAAATTTAAATTTTTAATATATTTTATCTATCTTTTGTGAATATTGTGCATCTACAATATTATGGTGTAGAAGGATCTTTCCTTTTACCAAAACAGCAGTTTGTCCATACCATTTTATTATCGTAAACTCAATATACAACGATAATGCAGAAATTCACTATTAATATTTGCACACCCCCCCTCTTCCTTAGAAACTTAATTTTTTTTAGTAATTTAATTAAAATTGTCAATATCAAATCCATTAAAAACTTAGTGAATTTATATGTTGTCCTACATGATAATTATTTTACAAGGTGAAACTTTTAACAAAAACAATTATTATATCAGTAAATTTTTGTAATAACGACTCATAATTTTAAATATTTATAATCTAAGTAACTTAAAACTTTTATTAAAACAAGAAATCGATTTATTTATACTTAATAAACAATATTGAACAATAAATTAGTTTAATTTTTCGGTTACACAGTTTAAGTTTTATAGACGATTAAGATTTGCTACTGTTAAGAGAATTACTATATGTACTTACACGTAATTCATATAAATTAAACCATAAAAATATAAACCAAAATATCTTTAATTTAATATTCAAGTCAATAAATACTAGATTAAAAAAATCAAAGAACAGGATAAAAAAATGTTATAAAAAAAAAATATGGAAAATTGCAAATTTTTTAACAACATTGAAATGATTAGTTTATTTATGTATACATGGTTTTATTTTCATTTATTTTTTCATAATTTATAAAAAAAAAAAAAAAAAAATAGTTATATTATAGTTTAAAGAATTTAAAATTGCTGTTTTAAGTCATTTTTTAAAATTTAGATTTTTTTTGTTTTACTTTTGTTGGTTTGTTTAACTTAAAAATGTTTAACCACTGAATATCTGTACCTAGGATTTATTTTAGAATAGTATATTTTTTCCCAATTCTAATAATATTTTTCATCTATATCAGATACTTTTTAGGTATATATATTATAATATAGTTGAGAAACCGTTACGCACATGACGTGTAGATTGGATTGATAGTTGTCACGACCAGATCGGCTTCAATGGCACCTAGCGAAGTTATGGCAAACTCTGGAACGTTTGGCAACAGCACGGCGACCACTTGGCCTGGCGTTGCACCTCTCTTCTTTAGACTAGCCGCAAACCTCTTGCACGCCAGCCTCGTCTCGTAGTATGTAAATTTTCTATTAGTCATTCCGCAAACCTACATGTCGAGAAAAACAACAGGTATAAAACAAATTTATGAGAAATACTAATTAAATTGACGAAATAAATGGACGTGATCGCATAATAATATATGATTTACTTGAAAAAGTTTTAATATTTTTGCTTCAATAACAATATACACACACACACACACACACACACACACACATATGGTGTTATATGATAATATATGTCAATTTTAATAATGATATGCGTAAAATAAATATATTAATATTAATAAAAAAATCGAAATTTATTAATTATTTATTTATAAGAAAAACCTGTAGTTAAGTATGGAAGAAAAAAAACAGTAATACGATACCCAATTTTAATTTAAAAGTATGCACTAAAATAACATTTTTCAAATAATTGCACCAACAATTGCAAAAAAACAACATTTAAATTATACCTAAGTACCCAGTGTTTTAATGAAACATGTATATAGCAATAAATCCAAGTACCACTTATATAGGTCCAAAAAAATAGCTGTAAAATTTGCAACAATACTTTTACTATATAACTATAATTATAATGCATATAAATAGTCGCTGTTTATGGCTTTATTTGTGCATATATATAATATTTTGAAAAATCGAAAAACTAACCTTGAAATATAATGGTCAACGACTTTAAATTATTACAGAAATATAGGATGTAATTTATTTTTTATCATTATAATGAAATACGTAAGTAGGTACTCATAGGTACTATTAGTAATTAAATGACCTGATGCGGTAAAAACAAATTGTAAACAATTGAACAAAAATTACATTATACTTAATTCCAATTAATTAAAATTAGTTAAACAAACATTTATTTAATAATTTATGATTTTATTTGTAGTTAAATTGTTTCAAATTAAAAAATCACTTGTATCAACCACGCGTGTTTATGAATAAATATTTGTTTTCATATTATTATGTTTACATCTCTGTTCTAATAAATTCAGGCATTGCTGAAAAAAATATATTTTTAACTCGTTAAATACATTTTATAGAAGTAAATACAAATGATTGAATGTATTAACAGTCTTAAATATGATTAAAAAATACATAGGTACTGATATTTGTTCGTACAGAATTATAATCAAATATTTATAAAAATTATTCATCACAGTATTTGTAACGTTTCTTCTTGTGTAATTATTTTCTTAGTAAATTAACAAATGCATTTTTAACAACTCGTTACAAAAGTATAATTTTTAATTTTTATATAGTTAAAATTTCAACAGTATTAGCGCGTGACATTTATTATGCTTGGTATAACATAAAATAATAATTATTAATATAATACACACATTACATAATAATTAAAAATAATAAAATAAAAACATTTTCAACCAGGTCAAAAAAAAATACACACGCAATATTTAAGAGGTTTTGGTATTAAAAAAAGAAAATTAATATATATTTTAATAATATCTATTGTACCTACCTATATTTTACATAAGTTGTTTTATTTAAGCCAAAAAGGAAATTTTCTTCATTTGATATAAAGTAGATTGTAATTATGTACGCGTATGTGTATTGTGCATTCGTGCATATTGTTTATTATAATATACCTATATACAATGAACTCCATTGATGAATTGTATTTAAATATTATAATTTTTTATAGTTATCCGTATGATATAGATTCATAAAATATATTCATATTATATACATACAATATTATTATAAATAATTAATAATTTTTTATCAAAAATTGAAATGAAATACTCAAACTACTTTAATCGTTTAACTGCCTACTTTAATATCATTAAAAAGAAAATTTAGAAGAAAACAAGTTATGAAACATCTAAAATAAAGTATAAGTATAAGCATCAAATTAATTTTTTTTTTTTAAATGTATTTATCAAATACACTCATGAGTAATATTAGTTTAAAAAAAAATTCTCACTCTCAAAGTATAATATGTTCGTCGTGGTGTATACCGTATATCTGTGCTATTTATTTAAAGATATATTATAGAACGGTAAATTTCTGATTTGCTAATTTAGATAGCTAAAAAATGCGGTACAAGTTCAAAACAAAATTCTATATTCACGTTGATATATAATTGTGTAATATTTAATAAGTAAATAAAACAGCGATGGCATTTTTAATCAAAAATGTTAATCCTTATATTTTGAAATAATATAATACAAAATATTCACGTTTTAATAACATTAAGTTTAGGTTGAAAAATAAACATTTGTATTTAATAGTCGACGTGACGATAAACACGATTGTACGAATGTCAAAGACGCAAAAAGTCTATAAAAACGTCATGCATTGATATTTAATAAGCGACTATGCTCGCTTATATTTAATATACTCAATGTCTCAGCGTAGTTCCGATATTAAATACACATATTATTTTATATATTATTAAATATTAATCCCTAGATCATGACATCAATCGCGATTGTTACAATAAGATTCACTTACCAGTGCTTCTTTGTCCGCCCATCTCTCCAGGCGGCTCCACACGTACTCATCTATTAAATTTTCTGGTATCTGAACGTCCGAAAATGGAGAATGAACCACTTTAGACTCGGTGCGATGACGAGCCGGTTGACTCAGATTATTACAAGTTAATGAGACACACGTCTGTCGCAAGTGACTGCGACACAAAAGTCGGCTCCATTGTAGTCTTACGGGCATTGTTGCTCAAAAATATTGAACGAATGGCGGGTAGAAGATTTTACCTTGAACAAAGAAATAAACAACTTCACTTTGAAATATATTCAATTAATATTGGTAGGCGACGGTGTAAAATAATTATTAATGATGCTGGTAATTCAATAAACGTCGAACCTTATTTTTTTTTTTTTAGAAGTAGTGATTTAAACAATAATGAATAAATTAGGTGATCGATAAATCATTGCATACAAAACACGATTGTGAGCGAAAACGGTCTGTCAACCTAAGCCTAACAACAAAAATTACTAAGTATAACTCATAAAATTGTACCTATGTATATTGTAATTATACTAATGTAACAAAGTAACAATTTCAAATTCTCACAAATACCTATTTTTGAATAACACCAAAATAACTGTAATTGTTATTCTTTACTTAAATATCTATTCAATTTTATCAAAATTCAAACTTCAAAGTGTCTATAAGAAAAAAAAATATGTTTCTTTTATTTTTAGATTTTTGAGTTTCAGTAAGAAATATATAAGAGTAACTTTGTATTAAATTTTCAAATTTATTAGCTACATAAATTTATTGAAAATATATTTTTATATATTAAGTTATAAAATAATTTGTAACTATTCTTAAATTCCACAAATTTTTAAATAAAAAACTAGATGTAATTTTCTATTAAAATCACCCAAATCGAATAAAAAAACTTTTTAAAATGAATATATTTATCTCTCTACTTAGAGTATAAAAACGAAATGAAATATTCTAAAATGTAATACTTTGCTAGAAATTGATTCAAGTTTTTTACTCGGGTAAGGATAGATTAGGTTAAGTTAAGAAAATATAAATCGTTCACCAATTCATGGATAAAACACAAGGCTACAATATTATATGAATATATGATCCAAGCTCAAAATTAAATTAAATTAACGTACTTTCATTTATACGTCAAAGTTTTGATTCCAATGATTAAATTATCAAAAACCTTCTTACAGAGTTAAAAATAATAATAACAATAATAAACACCACTGGTTATTTGAACATGACTTTCAAATTTATACTTTTCCGACCATTATCTTGGCCGTCTCATAGAGTTATTTAATTTATAAGTTTTAAATAATTAAAATCCGCTTAAATAAATGCTTTAAGATTAATTATGAAAAACATATAATTGCCTTTCAGACTGCATTGTCTTTTTATTGTATTTACTGTAATTTACGGATTTTCAACAATCGTGGTCATGACATTAACAATTTTATATTTTAAAATAAACAAACGTCACACATTGTGAGATGAAGTGTATTGTAAGAAAAAAAAATTAAATTATTATTTAATAACGATGATATTTTGAAATTATTTGAAACTATATTTCTTTAAGAAACTATAATATTTTTTAAACACTTTTAAACAGCTTATACTCGTATAGTTTTATATTATGGCGAAAAATATTAATGTTTAATGAGGTATTTATTTTATTAGCTAACTATTGAAAAGTCGTAATTGATATGCAAATGATATTACCGTATTTATCTATAGCAATGTATATCAACACTGACCTGATACGTATAATAACGAATAATATATTGTCTTCAAGTGTTACGTATTTGCTTAAGTTTCGAAAAAATTAATTTATGGCACATGTGTAAATAATAAGTATATACATAGTAATTCACTGAACATGCTTATTGCTCACTGCTCATTTTTTTCAATAATGCAGTTATTTAAAATATGATTATTCAAGTTTTTAAATACATTACAATATACAATTTTATAATTTTTGAGATTTGTGTATTACATAAAATATGTCAAGTGAAGCTAACTTCTGTTTTATAAATGAAAACTCTTTTGTATTGTTATTTATTTTTGAGACTAATTTTTCTGAAATGTTGATATATTAAAATAAAATTTTGAAATTATTTAACTTTGTGTAATAACAATAATAGGTCCCCGATAATGGATTTGGAAGCCGTTGGGGCTATAGTTATAGTAATACGGTTTTTAGTATTTCAAATTAGTCTGTCTATCATCATTTATGATTCATTATAAAAGATTAAGTATAATAAACATTAGATCCAATAACATTAAATCTATTATACATGTTTGTACAACCATTTTTCAGGATTAGTATCTTTAATCCTTAGTAAAAACATTTTAATTATTGAATAATTTTGAACTTGAAAATACGAGAATATCAACATTTTCAAAAAAATATCCACTCATATTTTATAATAAAAAGGTAGATTCTCATTTGAAAACTTCTGAAGTAGGTAGCACAACAAATTTTAAGAATTTCAAATTATAGTCAAAAAGTATATCTAAAAATTCCAAACATCAGATATTAAATAAATAAATTATATTAAAAGGAAAAATGGAGATGAGCATTGTTGGCGAATTATCTTGTACACAGTGCAGCGATTACAATTCTAGGTACAATTAAATATCTCAACTGCACAGCCTTTAGTTTAAATGGTTTTTATGATGTAAAAAAGAGTATTTGAACACACATTTTGAGAAATATTTAACCTTTTCAGTACGCGCAAACGCAATACAGATTACTTTTTTTTAAATCGCAATCCCTATTTTTTTCTAACATTTTGGATAGATTAATTTTTTTTGAACTATTTTTGTAAAAAAGTTTTCTTATTTACAACATTTTTTAAGTTCAATTTTGAAAAAAAATTGACTTATAAGTTATAACCAATAGAAATTAAGTATCAAATACGTGTTTAATATATCTCATCTGTGTATAAATAGTAATTTGATTATAATTGTAGGTCGCCCAGACGGATATCTTGATTAAGCGATGATTTGTGATAAATTAACTGCTATGTGATAATATTTTGAATTATTTTTAAACTAGAATTTAATTTTATTCTTCAATATTAATTATCCAATCAAAAATAAGATAGTCAGATATTGTAGGTATTTAATTTAATAAAAACCCATTTTTCTTTTAGGTTTTAACTAGATCTGTACCTTAATTTGTACATTATTAGTTTATTACCTATGTAATACTTGTTTAAGTAAGTGTTCCGATAATTTTATGAATATGAATAATACTGAAAAAGTCTATTTGGTTTTAATTTGTGGTAAATTCCAATGTAATTTACTCCTAAGTGCTAAGACGGATACAGAACAATACCCAGGAAGATATAATCTACAGAATAATTATTTTTTATGAATTTTACAAGGGTTAAATCAAGAAAACAATTTTTGAAGTATATAAATCTATTAACTAAGGAGTAGAGTAAAAATGTTTGATGAAGATAAAGAGTTAAAAGTACTACCTACATACGAACCAATCCTTATTAGTCACACACATGCTGCTCGCGAAATTGTAGTTTCATATTATGATTTTATCTAAAGAATTCTGAAAAAAACATAAAATATACCCATATAAAGTGGATTTTATCCAACATTTTTATGCATAAGATTCTATTCGTAGGTTAGAATTTATAGCATGGTTTAGTATTTAATTGCATGACTCTTTAATAAAATTATCAATCACATTCATTAAACTAATGAATCAAAATTTACTAACATTAATATTATAAACAGGCAAAATCATCAATCCTAGGATAACAAAAACCCATACTGGCTACAAGAAACTAATTTTCAAACGATCTGGGGAATTAATGTATAGTGTTAATTAATCGATGGATAACTTCTCGGACCGTGCCAGTAGTATAATGAAATGTTTAATAGTAGACAATATTTAATTTTTTTAAATAACTACCAAAAATATTAGATGATATTCCATTAGACAAGTGAGAAAATATATTCTTCCAGGACGATGGTGTACAATCCCACAATACAATATTTGTTAGATAGCATTTGAATTAAATGTTTCCGAACCGCTGGTTTGGAACTTATGACATTGTTCCTTGGCAAGCACAGACCTCATATTTAATACCATTGATTTTTTTTTTTTTTTTTTATGAGGACATCTAAAAACTGTGGTTCACGCAAATCCACTTGTCAATTTCCAGAACTTAGAAAACAAAATACAATCAACATGTAATATTATAAGAGAGGACCAAATTAAAGCAGCAACATCGACTAAATTTTAATACGACTTGAATCATATTTAGAAAATACAAAGAAAAACTTTGAATAATTAATAAGGTAAATAATAAATATATTCAATAAAGTGTATTCTGTGTTATAATTACTATTTAGTACTATTGTCTATACATCATTATTATTATTATTATTATTATTATTATGAATATTTTGTTATTATATTAATTAATGTAGTAAATTAAATACAATAATTATTATTATTTGACACTTATTATATTATTTCTAATGATAATAAGTTAAAAATTCGTTAAAAACGAACTATGCACAAATTCAAATTTAAATTTACCCTAGTATAGACAGTTTTGTAAATAAAAATAAACAAATAATACGAAAAAAAAGCTTGGAAAAAAATTGTATTCCACACGCGCGTATTGAAAAGATAAAAAATATGAAATGTTCTCAAAATTAGTACGAAATTCTTTCACCTTCTAAAAACCCCATTTCAATCCAAAGTCATGCAGTTAAAATATTTAGTTTTAGCTGGATCGTGATCACACTGTATAATAGTGTGAAACAATGATATTATGTAATTTCCTAAGTGTTTTGCAGTTAATAGTAAACTCGTATAAAACAATTGGATAAGAATATACATTATACAATACACAAACTGTAAATATTTAAATAATAATTAGGACTCTAATAATCTATTCTCATATTGATCAAATAATATGTAAATCAGCACACAATAATCAATATTATTGATACTTAATTGTTGTTTTACCTACTATTCATTATTTAAAACACTAAATATTAGAAAATGTATATAAGATGTAAATATTTTATATAGAAGAACACAAATAATAAAGAAAAAGTTTGGCACTTAAGTAATAAAAAACATATTCAATTAAGATAGGAACAATAAATAACGTCCGACTTCCAAATTGATTATTAATAATAGATTTTTATATAGGTTTATATAATATATAAAATGATAGGTATATCAACAATCAAATAATTTTACATCAAGTGAAGT